CTCCTGAGCTATTAAGAGAGCTTTTATATGTAGAAATTTTCAGCTGAGGTGACGCTCTTCATTGCTGCAACTAACTTGATTGCCTGAACTTTGCTGGTATCCTACTGCTGTTTAAAGTTATAGGGACCATACAATTGCTTGGGTATGGGGGGTGTATTTACATGGGCACAGAGACATGTTTCCCATGTGATATAAGGTTCTACAAGGGGCGGACACATCTACTTCAGCCTGAGGGCTGCATTTCTTTCTGGGCAACCTTGCAAGTGCCATATGCCAGTGGTGTCAGAGCCAGAGGCTAAAGTTGGCAGAGCAATGAATGTTAATTTTACTTTGGTGAAATTAGTTTCTATACACACACAGGTGGATACACACATATAAAAAACGCTGTGAAAATACTAATTTTTTTTAAAAAAAAACAACTTTGAAAAATACATTGAGTTTGGCATAGCTCACTATTGCCATCTAGTGTCACATATGTGTATTGCACTTCACAACACATTTAAAACGTTTTATTTGCAGCTGTATAGCTGAGTCCACACACAGAGAGAGCAACGCATCCTCTGTCCAGATGAGCAAGAGGCGTAATCAGTTTGACGACACAGCCAGGCAAAAACAATAGGGATGGTGTGGTGTGGGACTTGTTGAGGGGTGTGGCCTGGGGCGAGGGTGTGTGTGGCTAATGGCCAGGCAGAAAGCCCCATGGCTCTTCTGCCCCACTTTCACTAACCAGCACCTGGCCTCGTTTTCTCACCTCCTGAGAACTTAGACGAGGTTTAAGCCACTTCCCATAAAGTCATCCTGACTGCAGACCAACAGCTGGCTTGTCCTTCAGAACAAGTCACTTGCTTTGGGGCTGTTCTGTGGAAAAACGGGTGACATTTGCATGGCGAGAGAGAAAAAGGTGAAAGGAACCCAGTCTTGGGGACGCAGTTGCTCTCTCCAGCAGATCTTGATCTGGGTAGATGGTTGTCAGCACCCGGAAGGCAAGTATGCTGATTGCGCCCCTAACTGTGGATTGGCCCCTACCTGATTTGCCCTAACCAGATGTTGCGCCCGGTGGGCCGGCCACGCATGCACCCCCACGCGCATGCTTGGTCAGCCAATTGCAGCACAGCCTAGAGCCCGTCTCTGCAGCATTGGTGGGACTTGGCTGCACGTAGCAGCCGCACAGGTCTTGCCATTCCTGCATTATTATCTTTCCTGCTGCCTTTCTGGAAAAGCACCCCCACCTGCACTCTGAGCAGCACTGGCCAGGGAAACAATAACAAAAACCGGTTGGCTTATAAAACCTGCCAATTTTCAGGCACACGGCACCTGCGCTGTTTGTTCGAGGGTGTTGTCATAGTACCCGAGGAGCAAATCCAAGATTGGCTCCCTTTCTCTGGGGCCTCCAAGAGACATGGAGCAAAGGGGTGGCTCCTTTCTAACAGGATGCTCTGCCCCACTAAGAAGCAGGGCGGAGCCATTCAGAAAGACAAAGCGGGGTCCAACAACATATAAAGGGTCACAGGGTAGCCGCCCCTGTTTTGCAGGATTCAGGAGTACCCTCTCATTGCAGAAACAGCAATCTTAAATCCAACCCTGCGGATATTCATCTGAAACACACACACACCCAATGGACTACCAAAACACAGTGGATAGAGCACAGATCCCTCCTTCAGCTTTGAGCATCTCCAGCAGTGGCAGCTGGTACCCAAGGAGATGGAAGATAGAGAGAGCCAGCTAATTCTTGCTTTCTCCCCCATCCTCTTCCCTGCTGAGTTCTGCAAGGGAGGAGGAAATGGACAGCCAGGACCACCTGCTGCACTTGGTTGTAAGAAGGCAGGTGGTCAGGGACTGGTTGCAGACAAAGGGCAGTTGGTGGGGCAGAACCCCAATGGGCAAGCCTCAATTGCATAGAGCTGCCTCTGAAGACAGTTCAGAAGCTTCAGCCAGCTGGTGCAGAATTGGGCAGCCAAGTTGCTCACTGGGACAAGATGGTTTGAGCATATTACACTGATCCTGACCTGACTGCGCTGGCTGCCAATTAGTTTCTGGGCCAAACTCAAAATGCTGGATTTGACCTGGAAAGCCTTAAATGGCTCAGGACTGCAATACCGCAAGGACCGCCTCTCCCCATATAAACTGTCCTGGACTCTGCATTCATCATCCGAGGCCCTTCTTCGTGTGCCTCCTACACGAGAGGTCTGGATCGGGCCTTCTCTGTAGTGGCTCCCCGTTTGTGGAATGGTCTCCCCAGGGAAGTTCACCTGGTGCCTTCATGATACATTTTTAGGCGCCAGGCCAAAAAGTTCCTATTCAACCAGGTCTTTGGCTGATTAATATTCTACAGCCTTTAAATTGTGTCTGTGGGAAGGGAGAGGTTATTGTTCTGTTGTTTTGATTTCATTATTTACTTGTGTTTTATCTTGCATTTTATTCTGTGAACCACCCTGAGTTCTTATGATGAAGGAATCACCACCTGTTGGAGTAGGCAAATAATCTGGCCCAATGTGAAGCAGCTACCTGTGCTTCTATTAAAGGTAAAGGTAAAGGTAGCCCTGACCATTAGGTCCAGTCGTGGCCGACTCTGGGGTTGCGGCACTCATCTCGCTTTATTGGCCAAGGGAGCTGGCATACAGCTTCTGGGTCATGTGGCCAGCATGACTAAGCCACTTCTGGCGAACCAGAGCAACACACGGAAACGTCGTTTACCTTCCCGCCAGAGTGGTACCTATTTATCTACTTGCACTTGACATGCTTTCGAACTGCTAGGTTGGCAGGAGCTGGGACCGAGCAACGGGAGCTCACCCCATCGCGGGGATTTGGCTCGAACCGCCAACCTTCTGATCGGCAAGTCCTAGGCTCTGTGGTTTAACCCACAGTGCCACCCGCTGTGAGTATTTACAGGTTTCCATGCTCCGTGCTGTGAAAAGCTTTGCCAGTGCCTGCAGACCAAGCTGCTGTTAATAGGCGTAGGAGCAGGCCAGTCAGGGGTTTGCTTTGGTCAGTTGACAACCCTTGGTGCTTCCTGGCTCCCTTGTGAGGAAGTCATTGGGAAAGTCATAATTCTGGCCAGGCCAAATCAGAGACCTACTGCTTTCGACTTATTAGCCATTTAGTTAGAATGCTAGGAGCAGGGACCACCCGGGGCGAGGTAATTGAATTAATCCCAGCATTTGAAAGAAGGCCCCCCCTGGAGTGTGTAAAAAGCCCTGAAGCTGCTAAAGTCAGACAGGGACAGCTCACAGGGAGGAGGAAATGCAGGGTGAGAGATGAGATTCCTTAATGGCCTGATCTTTAACAGCTGACTGCATTGGGCAGGGTGGGTGACTTTTCTTCCTGACAGATGCTCCGCACCTTTAAGCAACTGCCCTATCAAGGTCAAACAAAACCAGCAACAGAAAGGAAAGTAAAATTTAAGAATTCGACAGGTATGCCTTTGCCCATCAATGCATCTCATGTCCTGGTCAGGCTGCACCAGTTGAATTTCCGTCATAATTTGCTTCTGGTAAAAATGCAGAAGCTAGGCAGGCGGGTGTAGGGTGGGGAGAGGCAGAAACCTCATCCTACTGGAATCATCGACTTCTCAAATACGAAATAAATAATAATAATAAATTTGTCCTGTAGCACCTTAGAGACCAACTAAGTTTGTTCCTGGTATAAGCTTTCGTGTGCATGCACACTTCTTCAGATACGTGCATGCACATGAAAGCTTACACCAAGAACAAACTTAGTTGGTCTCTAAGGTGCAACTGGACAATTTATTATTTTTTATATATATTTCGACTGCATCAGACCAACACGGCTACCTACCTGATTCTCAAATACAAATTCTGAAGGGCTTTGCCATCAGAAGCAAGGTCAGTTCAGCCTTCTCCCTCCTTATTTTACATATGCATACAACAGTTTTGCTGTGTATAAAGCAAAACTGAACATGCCTCCTTCCACTGGCACCCCCGCCCTGTTTTCTTGACTGCCATACTTCATTGCTATTTTCTGCTTGAACTGAGTCTGCAGCTTTATGTAAGTAAACAATATTTTTATATCCTTACATTAAGGACTTCTGTGTGGTTATTTGGTTATTTTGTTTAGAGGGATAATAAAGGGAGAATCCAGACTGCCAAAGGCATCCTGGATAATTATACAAAGCCATGCAGCTTTGTCTCCGGTTTCCATGTTAATACTGCAAAGGATGATATATTTTTAACTCTGCTAAACTAAACACTAATCTTGCTCAAGGGAATAAGAGGAAGGCTAATTAATAAATAATAGAGCCTCTCCTACCCTCCAAATCCATCCTAACAAGTTCAGTTGTCACACTCCTTATTTTGCGCATTCACACACACATCACCCTGTTTTGCTGTGCATGAAACACAACTGAACTGAGCCTGTATCTTTCCCCTGTTACCCTCACCCTATCTTCCTCCCCTCTGATAGACGCTTCCCCTTTGGAAAAGCTTGAGACTGTAAGCTCCTCAAGGCAGGGACCTGTTTTCAGTGTGGAACACTGTGGACGTTAGTGGTACAATACGAATGCTAAATAATATACGCAGTGGCTTTGGGAAAGGTGAATTACGTGCCGGGGAATGTTACAAAAGGGAGTGAACACGAAACCTCCAATATCGTAATGATGTTATACAAATCTATAGTTCTACAGCCACACGTGGAATGCAGAGCACAGTTCAGGTCACAGGACCTCAGAAGGGATATTGTAGAGCTGGAAAATGTTCAGAAAAGGGCAACCAAAATGTACTACAACTCCCATCAACCCTGGCACTGATGGGAGTTGTAGTCCCAAACCAGTGGAGAGCATCAGGTTGGGGGAGGCTGGAGCTGACAAGCGCAGAACCAATGGACCAATAGCACACAAGTCTCCCTTCTTTCCCGCCCCCGTGCCACGCAGGAGTTCCCACCATGCGCCAGCTTAAGCTACATGCACCTTAAGGCTGTTGCTGCAGCAACATCTATCTCCCCCCGCAGTCCTGCCAGCCTAGAAGCAGAGTGATGAAAAAGGGCACCTCGAGAGAATCCTGGCTGTCCACAGAGCTTTGGCGAACCAGCCTGCGCACTAGGGAGGTCCGGGTGTGGCCCAGGGGCGAGAGGGCGGGCAGGGACTTCGCCTCGGTCCACTCCACGTGCAAAGTAGTGTCCACAGCCACTGCAGGGGAGAGCAGAGAGTGAGGTCAACCTCCGGGGAACAAGAAGGAGTGAGCAAAAGCAGGCGGTCTCCCTTTTGCAACCAAAAAGCAGGCTCGTCACATTGCACAGCACATAATCCATTCATGGAACCACCCCCTGGCTGTGAGATTGTGGCAGCAGGCATGGGCTTTCAAAGAGGGCCAGAGGACTGTGGTCACATCCACACGACACACATTGAAAGCATTCTTATACCACTTTCACAGTCGTGGCTCCCCGCCACCCCAAAAGAATGCTGGGAACTGTAGTTTGTTGAGGGTGCTGGGAGTTGCAGTTCTGTGAGAGGTCTCTCGGCACTACAGTTCCCAGCATTCTCCAGAGGAAGCCTTGACTGTTTACAATGGGGAAAGAGTGCTTTATGTGTATGGATGTGACCCTAGTGGTGGGTAGCTGGCTTCATGGCACATCCAGGATCTTTGACCCTGAAGACCAGCTGCAGATGGGCAACAAGAGAAGGGCAATGACTATGCCCCACTTGTGAGCTTTCCATGGGCATTTGCTTGCCTTTGGATTCCAAGCACCTGCTTCGTTTTCATTCCACGCTTCCCCCAAGGAGTTCCAAGTGGATTTCCCTGCAACATCCCTACGAGGTAGGCTAGCCTGAGAGACAATGACTGCCTCCAGATCATGCTCTCAGCTGGGGGGAGGGATTTGAACTCTCACTTGCCTAGTCTTTATTTAAGGTAAAGGTAGGAAAGGTAAAGTACCCCTGGATGGTTGAGTCCAGTCAAAGGCGACTATGGGATTGTGGCACTCATCTCGCTTTCAGGCCAAGGGAGCCAGCGTTTGTCCACAGACAGCTTTCCAGGTCATGTGGCCAGCAGGACTAAACCGCTTCTGGCACAACGGAACACTGTGATGGAAGCCAGAGTGCACAGAAACACCATTTACCTTCCCGCCACAGTGGTACCTATATATCTACTTGCACTGGTATGCTTTTGAACTGCTAGGATGGCAGGAGCTGGGACAGAGCAATGAGAGCTCACCCCTTCACACGGATTTGAACCGCTGACCTTCTGATCAGCAAGCCCAAGAGGCTCAGTGGTTTAGACCACAGCGCATACCACACTGATTCCAGTTCTGACAAAAAGCAGGAATTTTGAAGCCTGGGCAAACCGTGGGGTCTGTCTCTCTCCCCCTCTCCCCCAGTCGCAATCCACAGGCACATTCTGTATCAACGGTGGGGAAACATTTGCAACTCGAGGGCTACATTCTGCTTCTGGGTAATCTTTCAGGGGCCACATGGCCGTGGCAGGCAGAGCCAAGAACAAGATTGGGAGAAGGAAGGAATGCACATTTCACTTCAGTGAAGTAGGCAGATTTCCACTCACAAGCCCCTCTCTGTTGTCCATTCAAGCAAGCAAGTAGCATTGTCAGAATGGAAGGACTCCCTGAAGCCAGGCAAAGTTGCAGTCAAGGAAGGTGCAAAGCGATGCCAGGAAGTGGCACAGCCTTGAGAGGGACCCAAGGGCCACATGGAGCACCCTGGAGGGCCACATATGGCCCACAGCTCTGAAGTTCCCCGTACCCATCCTAGATCTATTTTCACCTGTGTTATAGCAACTTTGCACCAAAAAGGAATGGATAAGTAATGTGATTGACTATCATGCGGAATTGCCAAAGGTAACAGCTAAAATAGGAGAACCTAAAGACGATTGTTTTGTGGAAGAATGGAAGCTTTGGGGGGGGGACTGTCTAAAGAAATGTTATAGTACGATGAATTCGCAAGCAGGATTTGAACTATGAGCAACAGAAGGAATTAGAAGTTATTGTATCATTGTTACGGTATAAAAGACAGAAGATAGGGTGAAGCAAGGGGGAGAAGTAAAAAAACGCCATGGAAAAAGGGGTGGGAAGTAGACAAAACAAAACAAAAAAGTTATGTATTGGAATATATATATATGTGAATTTTTTGATATTTAATAAAATACAATTGGAAAAATACATCTGTTATAGCAACGGATAAAAGCAGATATTAACTGCCTAGAGCAAAGCATGTTGGCTTCCAGATGAAAGGTTTTGCTACCAGAATTTAATTCCTCTGCTCTCTCACTGGAATAACTGTAAGGTTTTAGAGCCGCATCACACATTCAAAGCACGTCCCATGCACATTTAAAGCTCACAACATCTGCCAAAGAACCCTGGCAATGGCAGTTTCCCCCTCGCTGAGCTACAATTCCCAGCCCCCTTAATGAACTATAGTTCCCAAGATTCTCTGAAGGGAGGAAGGTATTTTAAATACATTTTTGATGTGCTTTAAATGCATGTCATATGCAGAGTCAACCCATTGGAGCTAAATCAACAAGTTGCTTGCAGGGAATGACTGTGGCTCAGTGGTATAGTATCTGCTTTGTACTCAGAAAAAGGTCCCAGTTCCACTCCGTGGTATCTCAAAGATGGCGCTGTGTGAATCCTTGGAGAGCTCCTGCCATTTAGCATAGAACAGAGCACATGTGGGGAATCTGTAGCCCTCTGGATATTTTGGTGGACTACAAAGCCCATCATCCCTGACAGCTGGCCATGCTGACTAGGGCTATTGGGAGCTGGAGTCCAATACCATTTAGACTAGACCAGGGCTTCTCAAACTTGGGTCTCCAGCTGGTTTTGGGACTACAATTCCCATCATCCATGGCCACTTGATGATGGGAGTTGTATCCAACAACAGCTGGTGACCCAAGTTGGGGGGGGGCCTGGACTAGATGAACCAGCAAGCTAGGTAGAGATAAATCAGCCTTCTTACCTAAAGGCCACTGGATTTAATGAGTCTGCTCTGAGTATGCCCAACAGCAGACGCCACCCATTGTGGTTAACTGCATCCTTCCAGGACCCAGGGCAAACTTGTCTGATGTTGAGTCAAACCATTGGTGCATCTTGCTCAGTATAGTCTACACTGGCTGACACCGGCTCTCTGGGATTTCTGGAGATGCTGGGGGATTGAACCGGGAACCTTTGGCTTGCAAGGCAGATCCTTTACCACTAAGCTGCTCCTTCTCTCCTCTGTTTTCTGCAGCTCCTGCGAGGAATGGAGTGGGGGGCTACCAGCTGACCCCACACCTCTCCTAGCTCCCTAGGCTGCTTTCGCCTGCCAGGGAAAGCAGAAATTAAGTTTCTCCTCTGCTCCATTATTCTGCTGCTGCTCGGATTTCTTTCCTGGGGCTTTCCGAAGGAGCCCTGCAGACAGTGGCTGGCTGCATGGGGCCGTGTGCCAGGAACTGCATTCAGTCTTCAGGGACTGCTAAAGGAGCTTGTCGGGAGATGTGTAGAGTCGCAGAGTATAAAGCCAAGGGAAAGTGTCTGCCAGCCTGCCTCTCCTAAGCAAGCAAAAGGAACAAGATACACACATCCACACCTCCTGCCTCTGAGCACTGCCAGGTTTTCCCCCGGGCACCCATGCCACACAGTCTCTCTCTCTCCAGGAGAATCAGGTGGTGGTGTTCTCCTCCAAACGATAGCCCTCCGTTTTCAGAAAATGTGGACTTCTGGCAATCTGATGCTGAGGGTAAAGACAGGAGTTGCAGGTGCCTAGCGTACCGTTTCTGGCAAGGTCTCAAAGACAGCCTGGTTGGCAGCTGGCGAAGAAAGTCAGAGTGACCGCTGAGTCAGTCCAGCCCTGTGATTCACAAAAGTGGTACCTGCAACAAAACGTTGCAGTGGAGAGGGCTGCTGTTCAGGGTCCTGGCTATTCCATTCTATCTGTGCCTGTCCCCCTCCGTGAAAACAACAGTCCCTGACTACAGCAAAATATACCGCTAAAGGACCCAAGTGGGTATGTGTGCGCCACACTCCCCATGGAGAAAGAGAGGCTAGGATTTGTTGCTCCCAGATTGTCTAGAATTCTGTAGCAGTCAGCATTCATGGGAACAGTGCATGCATCCCATAACAAAAATGCTTCGGTAGCTGCTGGGCTGCAGCTCGTTCCTAATAATAATTGTTTCATGGCTCTCACTCCAGCTGCCTGTTGGGTCCACCTGTTATCGCAAGCCTGAGAGCAAAGCTCTGGCCGGTCTTAGCCATTGCATGCCAGCTCTCCTGCAGATCCCTGCATGCAGCAAGAGGATCTGTGACTCTCCACGGGGCTGCGTGTGCCTGCTTCTGCCACAGTCCCAATGCAGAAACGACTTCTCCCTGCCCATCTAGCTGAGATTTATGGCGCTTCCAGTTCATTGTGCGATCCCTGCTCCTCTTTAATGCAAGGTTGTGGGGGGGGAGTTTGTTGTTGTTTTTCTGCAGATTCCACACAATGTCTGTTGCCATCATCAAGATGACAGTCATATTCCCCCTCCCCTATTTAATTCATTTTCTCCCCAGGGAAAATGCAAGAATTTAAAGAATAGCTATGTTTCGCCAATGACCTGTTTGCAATATTTTAACAACAATATTCAGCCCCCATCTGGAAACATCCTTAGAATCCTCTGGACCTCTTCAATAAGAATTGAAATTAATGCCAGAAAAGTTACTCACTCGAAATACTTTTACCAGCGTATACTTGCCCACACGTACCTATTTATACTTGAGATAGCATCGTGGGTTTTTTTAGTGCTATGAATAGTATTTTTCAGCGCGTAGAAGGCTGTTTTAAAGGGCGGTTGTTGCTTGTGGTGTGTATACACCTGCCACTCCTGCCTCTAGGCAGTTTCCATATTGTTTGAAAACACCGCAAAGTGACCTCGGGGCAAAATAAACTGTGTGTGCGAACGTCTGCACTCCTTCCCCACCCCACCCCTCTCTCAAATCACTTCAAACTTTCAAGCTCTGTTAAAAATGAAAGTAAAGTCCTGCCGATAAGATATAATTCTAAATACAGAAAGAGGGCAAAGGTGGATTTCGGGGAGAATGATGGGTTCCCCCACACTGGGCACTGAGCCAAGAGGTTGTCGGAGCATTGCATAAATTAACATATTGCTTGCATACGGTGTACTGCATATGAAACTTAGCAAGAATGCACCACTGGACCTTATATTT